CATTGAAATTAGCACTACTATTCTTAATAATCTTTTAATTTTTGTAATTTGAAAACTTTTAATTAGGTATATAATCAAGTGCATAACTAAAACAAGTACACTAAATAGATTCCATATGCACACCAATAAATAAATAAATAAATAAAAAGGAAGATTTACCTCTGTGCTAGTTTGTCCTTCATCTAATTCCTTAAGCAATGTAACATGCATCCTCATGCTTCTAGCCCTTTCAGCTGATACTAGTCAATTCCTCTAAGAAGAGAAAAAGCAAGGCAGGGAAGTTGATTGAGCGCTAGAAATCACCGAAAGAATGGCCATCAATGGGTTTGATCTCATAAATCGATACGTGCATAAAGGCGTCAATTTTCAAAAGCATGAGTATAGATGGGCTTGATTTTATACACCATAACTTGCATGAAGGTGGTGTTATTTATTCGATATCAAATAATATCAAAGGCTAGCTTTTTATCCCTCTTTTACTTAAACTCAGAGCCAAGTTTCTAAATAAATTTTTATGATTGAATCTTAAACTCTAGACCAAGATTTAATCGTAAAGGGACTTTTGTCAGGCTCTGAAAATTTAGAGAATAGCTCATAAAAAAAAAGAAGAAGAAATTATTGTATATTTTAAAAGAAAGAAAAAAGAGGGATAATTGAAGCTGTACCTAAATTAGAAATATTATAATTTAAATTAATATTTGTATGATTATTTTCTTTTAATTACATAGGACCTTTCATATTATTTAAATAATACATGTAAATGCATTTTATTGAAACTTACAGATTGCACAAATTTTTTTGAACTCAACCACTTCTCTGATTAATATGGACTTCTTAGTTATCAATAAAGCTTGTGAATGAATAAACAATGATTTAATTATTTAAACACTTAAAATTATTTCTACAAATAAAAATTAATGCCTCAAAACAATATTCAACGCTATAAAGATAGAAAGATGATTTAATATAGATAAAAATAAATAGTTCATATGATGCAATAATGACTGCCATCAAAGGTCCGGTTCTCATTTTGTATTTTTTGCTTAAAAGGAAAAATATCTAAAAGCTCGACCCAACATATTTTCATAGCAAGCAAACACTTCATAGGTGGAATGATGACATGGTGTATAAACACTTCATCTTTGAGAACTTGCACAGATCCCCAATCAGCTTCTAGCAGAACAGGATATGAATGCCCCATCTTGCCAGTTACAAAAAGCTCTGCATTTGTCAGAATTTCACCAACATATTCACATATGAAAGCTCCTTTAGGAAGTTCATCAAGGGCTCGAAGCCCCCATCCCTTTCCTTCTGCAGTCCAAAACACCTGGTGAAAGAAACTCATAAAATCATAAGTTCTAAGATTCATCTCAAATCACACCATTAAAACATACACGATGAACTGACTATTTCATCAAGGAAAAAAAAGTTGCAAAACATAAAACCAACTTCTGCAAAAAAGGAGGAAAAATATGACCTGCAAATTCCTCGTTATTCCGTGTTGCACTATTCTATTTCCACAAATTCTACTGCATTCACACTTAGTCCAGAACTCCTTCACAAATTTTCTAATCAAATGTCCCTTGCATGGTTCTGGCATCATCCCATTTCTTATTCTCTCAATGGGACAATCTTCACAAAAATATAGGCGCTTCTTCACTTCGTCGAGACAATGGCATCTAGAAATTCCCTTTTCATAAGACCATCTGAAGTATAAGCATAATCTCCTCCAGTCTCTCTTGCACATGGACATGGAACATGTCCTGCCAAGCAATCACCATAACAAGCAGAGCAACAATCCTCATCTCCAATTCAAGCTAGCGATAAATTGACATATGCATTCTGATAAACATTATTTCTCGAAATATAGTGAAATGATGGCCGGTATCACTTGGCGGGAGCATTTGCTAAGTGAAACTGTTAAATTCTCTTCACCCCTACATATGTCAGCCTCACAAACTACAGCAGTCCTTGCACTAATAGAGGAATGTTGCGGCTGGGACACAACCAAACTAAGTGAAGCATTTTATAGAGCTCCTGAACTTCTGGTTTCATCACTGTCTTTACCTCTCTCAGTTTGATTATTTGAGCGGACTTTGAGATTCAGATTCATTCCTTGAATCATATCCTGCAAACTAGCTCTTTTAGTGATTTGAGAGTGAAGGAACTATACATACAACATAAATCTAATCAAACACCAATCGTACAATATTTCCTTGTTCAGCAGAAGATTCAATGACATATTTCTTTCAGCAAAATCAAAAATGAAAAATTAGGCTCATGAATATTACATGACTTCAAATATTTATCCTCCACCACTTTGCAAAGAACCTCCATGCTTGGAATCTGGAAATTTGGGGGACAAAAGTGTTGGATCACATAAAATCACAAGCCTCACCTCCCCTGAAAATTTGGGGGCATTTTGATACAAACCACACAATTCTTATGTATTCACAGATCTAACACTAAACTCTTATATTTACATGCAAGCATTAAAGTTTTTAATATAAAATATATATTTTCAAGCATATATGTTTATAACATCAAAGTTTTATAAATATAAAAATAAATGTTTAGGTGTTATATATGTAAATAAATAAGAATCGTGCAATATATATATATATAGTACATAAATTTTACTTTTTACATATATACCACCCAAATCATCATACCACTTAAAAAAAAACTATCATTTTACCCTTTTTTTTTTTTCAAAAGAAATACTTATTTTCATATATGTAAATACATAGAAATTGAGTGATATATACTTAAAAATTGAATTATAAATGATTGATATGCTAATACATAGAAATTGTGTGGTAGGTTTATAAATGCCCAACAAAAAAAAAAGAAAAAAAGAAAAGGGAGATTTACAGACCTACCACTCAATTTTTAAACATTAACATATCAAACCCCAAAAATTTCATTTTTACGTACAGATTTCCAATTTATGCCTATGCAAAAAAATAAAATTTGAGTTAAGTAATACGTTAAAACATAAAAATTTGGTGGTAGATATGTAAATGCCCCAGAAATAATAATAAAAAAGATCCCTAGAGTGAAAATATTTGAGAGTGAAAATATTTGCGTACGTAAGACTACGCAGCGCTGCGTACGTTGGGAGGTTATTCAGAGGGTATAGAGAGGTTATATCAACGTTATACTCCCTGTAACCTCCCTGTAAACTACATGTAACCTATAAATAAGTTCCGCGTTTCTGTAGTTCCGGTAAGTACAGGTAAATTACAGAAATATTATAAGGGAGTATAATGCGGATATAACCCCTGTTAGCTACCCAAACATTTGACCATAGAAAAGAAACTCGAACCCAAATTTTCAGAAAAAACCTTGCTCTCTTAAAATTTGCAGCAAAACCCGAAGGAGTTACCGGTATATATCGCGGGAATACGGACTCTTTAAGATGTGTTTGCGGAATGATTTGCGTAAAATGGTCTGACGATCATCGCCGTTGCAGGGATCTCTTCGCTTTGGTAACGTTTCCCAAGATGGACATATACATTTCTCCTCAGCGATAGAGTACGCGTAAAAAAAAAAAAAAAATTAATACATACATTTCTATTTATATTTTGGGGATTCAAATGCAAACATAAGACTTATCTATTTATTTATTTATAGATCTATATCAAAATGTAGTCTTAATTAAATAATGCTTAAATTTTTAATATCTATATCAAAATGTAGTCTTAATTAAATAATGCTTAAATCTTTAATATCACATAAAAAATAACACTAATATTATATTTTCAATATTTACAGACACCAACCAATTCCTATGTATTTATTTAACTGCTTACATTTATACTAAAAAAAATGTCAATATTTAAAGTTTTGAGTTAAAAATTTAGAAAGCAAATTCATTATCATTTGAACTCCAATTTCAACGAGCTTATAATAAAACGAAATCTTTCAATAAATGAAATCAGAAAACACTAAAAATAGTCTAATCTAAATATATATGAGACCTAATCAAACACTTAAAATTAGATTGAAAATTTTATAATATTAAATAAAGGGTTAAAGATGTTTATAGTCAAATTTAGTATCTCAATGGCAGGGTTTACTAAATTTCATGTTTATTAAGATATTTAAATTTTGAACGAATAACTAATGTTAAAAAAAAAACATACAAATCATATAATGATTTTTCTTAAAAAAAATATTGGTCAAAGTAATCAAACTATCACTATCAAAAGTTGTAAATAGACTCTTATTCTTCATATGGATGATTTGAATTTGAAATTAGGTTGAGTTTGGCAGCATGAAAAGCACTAGAGCATTGATTGATCAACAACGTTGATGATGATTACCAACAACTATCATTATTCAACTGTTGTCATTTGATTTCTGACATTAAGCTATTAGCAACGCTCAATTGTTAGCTAATCATGATCGTTGTTGTATGGTTGCCATTCTTTAATTGTTATTGCCGACCGCCATCATTTAATCATTATTGTTTAATAGTTATCATCCAACTGTTATCACCTGTTCATATATCTCCAATACTATTACAAATATAAGAGATCAAGTAAGCACGCCCAACTTTATAAATGAGAACTGTTATCGTCTGACTGTAATTTACTATAATTTGTCTTTTTATAATTATAATATTTGAAAAAAAAAATATTTTGATTCATCTATCAAAGGAGTAAATCTTCTTTAAAATTTGGTAAATGCTTTACGTTGAAATGGAGCTCTTTTAGTGCTTGTGAATTATACATTCAATTCATTTAATTTATTTGTACATATTTTTTATTTTTTTAAATATTCTTTTATTTATACTATCTTCTTTACGATACTATACTAATTATTATGATGAAAATGAATATGTAAATATTGATAGTAAAAGTGAACTTTTTAATTTATAATTTGAGATTCCCAAAAATAAATAACAAAATATATTTTAATTAAACATTAAAAGGCATAAAAAATAGAATATAATGAACATAAAATATGAGCATTTTAAGAATATTTAAAACATTTAAATATTATTTGTATTTTTAAAAATAACTTAGTTTTTTAAATAAAATGTAAATATATTTTTAAAGAAACTTAAATAAAAAAAATTATAAAAACAGAAAAAAATGATAAAGAATAAAATACCAAATTTTAAATTACTTACCACATACCGCTAACCGTCCAAAATAATAAAATAATAACAATAATAATAATAATAATAATAATTATGGACTTAGATACATATATAATTCTTAAATGATAATTATGCTCAATATCTAAAAAGTTTATATATATATATATATATA